TACCTTTTTTGACCGTTTGGGAACTGAGGCATTACTGAATAAACTGAAAAAAAGAAGAAAGAAAGCCATAATGGAACGAATTGAAGAAATAAAAAAAGAAAAAGAAAAACAGAAAGATACATTTTTACTTTTTCTTTCTTTTTCCTTTCCTTTTTATCATTCATTTATTTATTCATTCATTTTTTTTGTAATGCATCACCATTTTTTTTCTGTAATAACCCCATATATATTTTTTTTTCGTTTGTTTGTTTGTTTGTGTAATAACTTTTATCATTTTTTTCTTTCATTTTTGAAATACCTCATTTATTACTTCTTACTCTTATATTCTCTTTCTTTCTCTCTTTCCTTCCTTTCTTCCTTCCTTTTCCTTATCTCTCTCTAATAATCTTTCTATCTTCCTTTTCTTTTCTTTCTTTTTCTCTTGCAATATTTTCTATTCTTCTTCCTATCTTTATATTTTCCATTTTTATCAGTAATATACCTTCCTTTCTTTTCTTTTGCTCTCTATAATTCTCATCTCTCTCTGTCTCTTCCTTTCTTTTTCAATCTTCTTTCATTCTTCCTCTCTTTATATTTCACATCTTCCTTTCCTTCTCTACCAATTTTTGTTTTGTGTTCTGGTTTATCAATATCTTTTCTCCTCTTTCTGTTTATCGTCCTTTCCTATCTACCTTTTTTCAACATCTCGTCTCATCTTTCTATCTATCTTCCTTTCCTATGTACCTTTCTTTTTCTTTTTCTATTCCTTTCTATAAACTTTTATAAATCTTCCTTCCCTACCTATTTTTTTTTCTCTTTCTTTCTTTCTTTCTTTCCTACCTACCTTTCCTTTACCCCCTTTTTATCTATATACCTCGTCTCATCTTTCTATTATTTTATTCTATCTTATCTCATTTTTCTCCCCTTTTATTTGCCCCTCCCCCTTATTTTTTAAATTTATCTTATCTTATTTTTCTCCCTTATCTTTATTATATCTATCTCATTCTTCTCCCTTTTTATTTGTCCCCCACCCCCTTATTTTCATTTTATCTTATCTTATTCCCCCCCCCCTTTTATCACCCCCACCTCACCCACCCACCCATTTTTTTTTTTTTTTTTTTTTTTTTTTTTTTTTTTTTTTTTTTTTTTTTTTTTTTTTTTTTTTTTTTAGTAAGCAAACAGAACAGCACCTCGAGAGAAGAAGGTCTTGCCACTCACCAGGTGGGATGACGGAGGTATGCTGAGGCGCCCCGGGGTAGGGCGGGGGCTTCTCGACGAGGAGGCTGCTGAAGGTCCCGTTCGTCCCGAAGTTGCCGCCGATCTCCACTGCCGAAGGAGAGAGGGGGGCGGCGGTTAAGTGGGGCGGTTGAGGAGGGGGGAGGAGGAGGGTGGGGGGGAAGGTTGGGGGGTATAGGGAGAGGGGGGGGGGGTGGGAGAGGGGGGAGGGGGGGGAGGGGGAAGGGGAGGAGTTAGTGGGTGGTTAGGAGGGTGGGGGAAGGCTGGGGGTGTAGGGGTGAGGGAGAGGGGGGAAGTGAGGGGAAGTGGTTGAGGGGGTGAGGGGTAGGGAGAGGGGTGAGGGGTAGGGAGAAGGGGGAGGGTGGGAAGGAGTGGGGAGGGTGGGTTGGAGGTGGGTGGAGGTGTAGGCAGAGGGAAAAAAAGGGAGTGGGAGGGGGTTAGGGCAAGAGTGGGAATTGATGATAAGGGAGGGAGTTCGGGCAGGGAAGGAAGGAAGGTGGGAGGAGTGAGGAAGGGAAAAGGGAGGGGAGGGAGGGGAAGAGAGCGGAGTAGGGGGGGAGAGAGGGAGGACGAAGGAGAGGGCGAAGAGAGTGGGAGATCGAGACGAATTGAGAAAGGGAGAAGGGGTGGGAGAGAAGGGAGGAGGAGAGGTAGGAAAGAAGGAAGAGAGAGAGAGAGAGAGAGAGGAAAAGATGGAAAAAAGGAGGGATAGAAACGAGAAAGGGAAGAAGGGAGGGGAGAGAAGGCAGAGGGGAGGAGAGAAGGCAAGTGTAGAGGGGAAGGCAGGAAAGGAGGAGGAGAGGCAAGAAATAGAGGTAAGAGAGAGAGGAAAAGATGGAAAAGGAGGGATAGAAACGAGAAAGACTAGGATTATAGCGAAAGATCTGTGGAAGGGAAGAGTTAGCGAGTGAGAAAGAGGCAGATGTATGAAGTTGTAGAAATAAAGATTTGAGGAGACACTCTAGGGTTATAGATGCTTAGAAATAGTTGTGGGGGGGGGGGGGTAGTTACAAGGGGAATTTACAAGGGTTAGAACTCTATATAGAGGGATTTTTAATAGAACTGATCTAGTTAATGGGAAGAATTTGGCGGAGGTGGAGGTGGTGTAGTATATACATACGTAATACATAAGTAAATATAAAAATTGATTTAGTGGTTGTTAATGCTGACATGTTATTGCAATACATGTACATCCATATATATCTAGAGTGTGAGATTAGGACTGAGGCCAATGAAGATAAATAATAATGATATTCCACAATACATAGGTAATAAAACTATATTATTGGTCATGTCATTAACTAATAGTATCATTATAACATTCAAAACATTTAACAAGCACAGGTAAAGTGCACGCAATGTATATATGAACACATACAAACAATCCATTATTTGTAGTAATTTGCAATAGAATAGTATTAGTAGTGGTAGCAGCAATTATCATACAGGTTGTATTATTATTGTTATCATCAATTTCCTTTCCCGATTTTTGCGTTGAAATAATATTTGATAATACCCCAAACTCACCTTTGCTGGAAGGGAAGAATAAGATAAAGAAATACTTATTAATTCTAGCTAGCTACCTCCATTTCATGATTTCTCTATCTTTCTTTCTCTCTCTCTCCCTCTCTCTCTCTTCTCGCTCTCTCCTCTCTCCTCTCTCTCGTCCTCTCTTCTCTCTCTCTCTTCTCTCTCTCTCTCTCTTCTCTCTCATCTCTCTCTCGTTCTCCTCTCTCTCTCTCTCCTCTCTCTCTCTCTCCTCTCTCTCTCTCTCTCTTCTCTTCTCATCTCTTCTCCTTCTCTCTCTCTCTCTCTTCCCAACCAATCCAAACCATCCCATCCAACCCCCACCCATCCCTAACCCTACTATCCCAACTCACCCATTCTAACCCCACCACCTTCCCACAAATTCACCCCGGATAAGCTGGCTGTGGCGTTCTGCGGTGGCGGTGGGGTTCTCTGCCAGGGCGCGGTTCCCCCCAAACCCACCTTCCGCAACCCCATCATCTCAACCCACCCGCACTCCCGCCTTACCTTCCCAATTCACCCTTCTCGCCAACCTAACCCACTCACCCGATCTCCCAACCCACACCCATCCCCAACCCACCTTCCCAATCCTCCCTCCCACCCATCTCCTCCCCACCCATCCCAAACCCACCTTTCCCACCCTTCCAACCAAACCCACCCCATCCCCAACCCCCACACTTCCCAACCCAACTCCCCAAATCCACCCAAACCCCTCCCCTTCCTACCTTCCCCAACCCAAGCCCTCCCCAACCCCATACACACACACCCACTCCTCCCCACCCGTCCAACCTGTCCCCACCCGACCCCCAAACCCCAACCCCACTGCACCCCCAAACTCCACCGCGATTAAGCTGGGGCTGGCGTCTGCGGCGGCGTGGGGTCTATGCAAGGCGCGGTTCTCCTTGTGGACCACCTCCCCGACCCATCCTTCGCCCAACCCACTCCTACACCCTTACCCCCCTCCCTACCTCCCCCTCCCATCCAAAAACCCCATTCTCCCACCTTCCCCCCACACCCAATTCCCTCCAATCCCCCACCTTCCCCCTCCCACCAACAACCCCCCCCGCCCACACACACCCCACCCAACCTCCCCAAACTCACCCGGATTAAGCTGGCTGCTGTCTGCGCGCGGCGGGCGGGCTCTCTGCATGGCGCCTGTTCCTCTTGTAGACCCCCACCTCCCATCCCTACCCCCCCCATCCCAACCCACCGTCCCAGTCCCATTCGCCACAACCATCACCCAACCCCCCTTCCCGGATACCCATGCCCCATCCCAACCCCCCACCCACCCACACCCACCCATTCCCCCTCCCCCTCCCACCCACACCCCCCACATCCATCCCCACCCCACCCCCAAAACTCACCCGGATAAGCTGGCTGCGTCTGACGGCGCGGGGGTCTCTTGCAGCGCGGTTTCCTCCTGTAGACCACCTCCCGACCCACTCATCCCAAACCCAACCCAACCCCATACCAACCCCCCCACACCTCCCATCCCCAAACCCAAACCCCTCCCACCCCCCCACACCTCCCCCATTCCATTTCCTCCCCCCACCCCCACCCCCACACCATCCTCACCCGACCCCCAAACTCCCGGATAAAGCTGCCGCTTGCCGTCTGCGGCGGCAAAGGTTCTCCCCAACTCACAAAGCGAATCCCAACCCCCTTCCCCAACCCACCACTCCCGACCCATTACATTCCAAAACTTATTCTTCCCAACCCACACCCATCCCACACCCACCACTCATCCAACCCAACCCCACCCCTTCCCCCCCACACCCACCCCTCCCAACCCCTCCCAACCCACCCCACCCAAACACACCCCATCCCAACCCAATCCCCAACATTGACCCCCCAAACTCACCGGATAAGCTGCGCTGCAGTCTGCGGCGGGCCGGGGTCTCTTGCAGGGCACGGTTCCTCCTGTAGACCCACCTCCCCGACCCCCCCACCCATCATCCCTCCCACCTATCCCACACACACCCCTCCATCCCTACCCATCCCCCAACCCCTACCCCACCCACCCCCAAAACTCACCGGATTAAGCTGCTGCGTCTGCGCGGCGGGGGTCTTCTGCAGGGCGCCGGTTCCTCCTGTTAGACCCACCCCCCGACCCTACCCCCACACCCCCTTCCCATCCCCCCCCCTCCCACACACCCCCTCCATCCCAAACCCCCCACCCCGACCCCCCCCAAAACTCACCCGGATAAGCTGGCTGCGTCTGCGGCGGCGGGGGTCTCTGCAGGGCGCGGTTCCCCTGTAGACCCACACGACGATGGTGACCCCGCACGCGCAGCAGAGGAAGGCGGCGGAGGCGATGATGGTGACCAGGAGCGCCCCCGAGATGCCGAGGATCTCTCCCAAGGACGTCGCTGTCGGGGGGGGGGGGAGAGAAAGGAGACGGTGAGGTTAAGGTGGTTGGTGAGCGAGAGTGGGAGGGGATGGGGAGAGTGGGGAGGGTGGGGGAGAGGGGGGGAGGAGGGAGAGAGGGAGTGGGGAGGGAGAAGGTGAGAGAGAGACAGAGAGAGAGAGAGAAAGTGAGTGAGAGAGAGAAAGAGAAAGAGAGAGAGAGAGAGAGAGAGAGAGAGAGAGAGAGAGAGAGAAGAGAGAGAGAGGAGAGAGAGAGAGAGAGAGAGAGAGAGAGAGAGAGAGAGAGAGAGAGAAGAGAGAGGGAAGGAGGGAGGGAGGGGGGAAAGAGAGAGAGAGAGAGACAAGCAAACAAGCAAAACAAAAGTAGAGAATAAGAGGAAAGATCAACAAAGAGAAAGGGAGAGAAAAGGAGAAGAGAAAACACAGGAACAAAGAGAGAAAACAAAGGAATGGGGAGACAGAGAGAGAGAGAGAGGAAAGCGAAGGGGAGAGAAGGCGGGAGAGGGGCCGCCCCCCCCCCCCAAACCTGCTCTCAAATTAGCATAAACGA